TGTTTTCTCCTTAAGGCTTCCAAAGTCAAAATTCTTCAGAGTTTTTTATGACAGATATTACGTGGATAATGAGAAAAAGAGTGACAAATGAATTATGTTCCTTTTTTTATAAACACTTAACAGTTGTCCCAAATTACGAGGTGGAACTAATTTAAACTTTAACAAGACGAATTAGAGCTATCGCTATAAATCGCATAATGGTTGTCTTAGCTAGCTCTCTCTGATGGTTCTCTTCTTAATGCAAATATTTAACTATGACAGTTTTTTACTCTGCGTCCCCGGGGATTATCGTAAAATGTAAAGGCAAACCGGAAAATGTTGCGAAGCGAAATCCAATGGAAAACGTAGGATAAAATCAACAGATGAATTGCAAATAGAGACTGTAAAGTTTGCCGAGCGGCGTTATTGGCAACAGTAGCGAGTATTTTCTTTTTTTTTCAAACGCTTCTTACAATATTTTGGAGGGAAATAAAAGCCTAAAAATATCCTCCTGAGAGAACAAGAACGAAAATATTTATGCACATGAGTAAATGTGATATATCAATTTATCATTTCGACATTTCAACGATTTATTCTTATATTTGCGCGATGCAATTTTATTCGTATTGCACGTTTATTGCAAAAAGTCAGCTGCATTTCCTTCTCGACAGTGCTTATTAATAATAATCATTAGCGCGGAAAAATGAGCATTTTCAGTACCTACGTTATTTTGGCTATCTCTTTATTGCACGTAATTGCACGCATCGGAAATTCGAGCCGGCTGCACATCCGCAGCTGTTATTTTACAATGCAATATCAATGAAGCGGATTATGACAATAATAATTTGAACGCGCGATAAATATATGTACATACATATATTTTTTTACTTCATATTTATGAAATAAAACGGTATATTTTAAGAGTCGAAGGACTTTGTCGACAAGAAAATCGTAGAAAATCACTTTTACGCGCGTCTTTTTTAAAGTAGTTGGTCAAACGGAAAGGTTCGGAAGCGACACACTCGCACTGTAGGAATCTAGTAGTAGGGTGTCGAGAAAATGACACGGCCTTGTCTCGAAAGGGAGGGACTCGCGATATAAAGGGCGAGGGCAGTAAGACAGCAATCTACAGCTTGGTCCACCGAGAGCTGTAACACCGGTGGAATCGAACTTGTAATAAGGTACGTCTCGCCCACTCACCAGAACTCGATTGCTCTCCGGGGACGACTCCTGTCTTCCCTTCGCTTTCTCTTCTTCTCCCTCTCCTCGATAACCTTTCCGTATTACGTATTTTCTGAGCTCACGTAAAGGGAAAAAGTTTTGGCAAGTTACAAGGCCAATTCGCGTTACATTCCTCCGTTATCGCCTTAAGGTTACACCGACGTGTCTTCAGAATGTCATTCTGCATGCGAACTCAACAAATTCTCTTGTCTTCCTCGACGAAATTATTCCCTCGAACGGAATGTTAATTTCACTTGTCAAAAGTCAATTGATATCCAGGAAATGTACTTGTGCGAATTAGATAGTTTAATATGAGCAAACAAATCCAAATAATCCAATTCAAAAGAGTATCGAAAATTATCGTAATTATCTAACTAATTTAAAAAAAAATTAGTCGCATAAAAAATTCCCTTTGCTCGAAAACTTTCAGCGTTTATGATTTACGATTTAGAAACAAAAGTAAATAAATATAAAATTATATAAATTAGAGTTACAATTCTTTTCTTTAATACGTTTATAAAATAAGATTTTAACTGTAATTGAAATGTCTTAAACAATCTTCCATAATACGCGATTAAATTTATTATTATTCCTAATATATAAATCTACATTATTTATTATGCTGGAATATGTTTATTGTACCGAAAAATCGCTTCAGATCTTTTTTTATTAAAAAAAAGCGTAATATATAGAAAATTATTGGAGGAAAGATGTAGGCATTTATCGTGCGTAAAATCAGCTTGCACGTAAACGACAGTAGAATAACAAGCGTTTCCTATAATATTCGATTATCTCTCATGGACGTTACTGGTAATGCACTGCGTACGATAATTATATTAATTTATATTGAATCAATATTAAACACATCCGGGCAATGTATTTTTAATGAAGTAAATACGTGGATGCATAATGCGTCGAGCGCTGAATATTACATCGCAGGGAATAGATACTCGCAATGTAACGATACACACGAAACCCGCAAAACTGCATTGCGACTCGCGATAATTATTCGAGATAATGGAGGAAATTCACGACTGCTTGTTTGCGAAGACTCTCGCGCTAAAAAAGAAGAATACCATTATCGAACACATTTCGATGACTGAAATAATTATTGTTTTCGTTGGATGAAAATTAATTAATTTTATCTGTATTTTGACTTAAGGATTAATATTACATTAATAATACATTACAATAATGAAGAAAGCTGATGAATTATCGAATTATTGAAATAGAGGTAAAGATTCAGAAAAATATTCAGTAAAATTTTTTGTTTTTTTATATTTTCTATTAATCCTTATATATTTGTATATGTATATGTATCTTTTTTTTCTTTATAAGCTATTATTTAATAAATATAATCCCAAGTGAATAAATAAAAATACTATCAGAGTTGAGAAACTCTGGAAATCTCGTGATTATGGAATGAAAAAATCACGTTCTTGATCGAAATCATTGTCATACGAGAATCATTACAAGCATCGACTCATCGTCAGACTAATTCAACCGTCGAGAGTACATCAGTATAACAGCCGCAAGGAAGACTGCAGCATTAAGGAATAATGAAAGGACATGCATTTTATGAGAAGAGAGGGTGAAAAAGCATAAGCAACGATGGCAGAGTCTTCTTGTCTTACGCCGTGATGCTTCTTGCGTTTTCATTAAAAGCCCGCCCATCCTCTCGTTTTGTCCGTTGCCGTCAACCTTCTCGTAAAAAGGCATATCACCTCTCGAAAAATAAAAGTCGCAACAAATGTCAACTAAGACACCCGATTCCCTTGGCATTTTTCTGCGACTTTCTCGCTACGGCAGGATCGTCACATGAAATTCATTAAAATTTTATTACACTAGCTGACGAGAAAATAGAATGAGAACGTGAGAACTGTTATTTTTCTCCTTTTTAACATTTGATGCATTTAACTAGTAATTGAGCTTTTCGGAAATTAAATTAATTAATTCTATTCTATAGATCTCTTCATTTTGGTATCAAGATACATATATGATTAGTGCTGTTTAAAATTATACAAGAAATTGAGTTGGATCAGTTTGGCTTCTATCACTAATTCAAATATTAAATTGATTGTTGATGTCTAAATACAGAGCAGTTTGTAGGTTTTTATTTAATTTTCTGTACATAATTAAGTCTTGTTTTTATCTTAAATGTTCAACAAATGTTTCCAAATTACGTGATAATAAAATGAATGTTTATCGATGTAAATGTAGATTTTCCTATCTTGGTCCGTTCTATTATTTGTATTGCTGTTTATATTATTTTTTGTTTTCTTGTTTGGTCTTGTCAAATTTGATTGTTAGAACATTTAAGATACAATGATCTTTATATTTTGCGCAAAATACATTCTTTAAAAATAAAAAAAAAACGTCTATTCAATACACGAAATTTTCACATGGTTATTCAAATGTCACGAAAAGAACCGCGCGATTCTAACGCTACAGGCTATCGATAGTTACTGGACTGTGCGAGAGAGCGAGAAGAAATGATCAGCCGAAGGAGTGAGGGTAATCCTCTATTGTTTCTCTTGTCCCATAAATCCTACTAGCTCTTCCTACGGAGCCTCTTCGGGGCTCGCGCTTTGGCCATATATAGAGCCATCCATCCCCGCCATTCTTTGGCCACCCCTTCTTCGCCTTTCCCAGCAACATGCTCCGTAAATCTCTGGTCAGCTGTGCTTTACGACACGTACTAGTCCCCATAAAGATACAAAGGATTTTATTCGTCATTCGACTTCGGTGTTCTAGGGACCGCTTAAAAATCAATCACCTTAAATAAATTTTATCTCTATGTAAAATTCATTAATTTGTAACATTATTAAAATTTCTTTATATTATTATTTCAAGAACGACTAACCCTATTTAATAGAAGCAGAGATTATGACGATGTACGCGCACATTATGTCATACATAATTATAGTCCTCTAGCCCTCATTTCCTAGACAATTTAGGAAACGAGGGTTTAACCTCTCTTCTAGTGAGCTTGGCCTAAGTAGTTTATTTATATTGTATAGTTGTATAATATAATTATATCGTTATATATATAATTATATAGTACAAATATGCTGAGAATATTTTGTTTAATGTATCAATATCAATAAATATTAATAAACGGTTGATACAGCACTCCGTTATTTTAATCGTTCGATTAATTAAGTCACGCGAGATAAATTTTAATGTAAGAAAGTATATATAAATTATGTATGTGTTGAGAGAATAATTGTAGGTATGTCAGAACGGAACTTTTGCATCGCTTCGATTTCTATTTCGAATAAATTAATTGTGTGTGACAAATATTTATTTCGGTTAATAACTGCTTATCACGAATTTTTCATTGTGCAGTTAATTATATAGTTTATATGATAATCGCTAATTGTTTGTAGAGAACGTGAGGGATAGCAAATACAGAGTAACTCATATCTATCTGTCGACTGAAGTCTCGCCGTGCAAAATAACAATGTACCAATCTCGCGTACACAGCAACACTGTTGTACGTTGCTGTGTAAATAAACATCAGAATCGATTTATTGTCGTTTTGAAACATTACTTTATATCAAATTTAATGCTTTGTGAAATAATTTTATGCCGAATATTCTATTCCATTTTTCTCGCTTCCTAAATTTCTAATTGCTAATAATAACGATTTGACATTAAATTACATACACATGTACTACATACATGTGTGTATAATTTTGAATTAATTGAATTAATATTAATTAGAGATTAAAGGTTTTTAATTATATATTTAATTGAAGTAGACTTTCTCTAACAAAATTATTTTCTTTACATTCCAGATCGAAGATGCTATGCTGATGTTCGACAAGCAAACTAATAGGCATAGAGGTAAGTACTTTTTTTTATATATATTACTCTGTTTTTAAAAATATATTGTGGAGAACTTGTTATAACTTTGTTGCGTACAAACGTACCGAAAATTTCTACGAAACTATCCTATTTAACGAGTCAATAATGTTTCCATTTCGTTGGTGAGGTAATTAACGATCCGTTGAGAGGCCGTAATCACGGTAAAGCTGCGATGAATGCGAGGAAAGATAAATAATACAAAATTCGAAATATACTGCGTATGCAAATCGTGGCGGTATTTTGCGAATTTACGGATTAATAGTTATAAAGGAGAAATTATCACAAAATGCGAAGGAACGTGATTGGCACAGAATAAATAGAGAACATCAATAAAAAGTTTATCATGATTGTGCATAAAACTTCAAGAGATTAAACATGTGATTTAGGAATTTTATACAATGTTTTTAAACGTTTCCTACATTTGAAAGATAATGTACTCTCTTATTGTTAGACTTTTTTTATTGTAATTTGACTTTTAATACTTTGCATAGAAAACACAGAATTGATTAATGAGTAATTTGGCAATTTACTAATAATATCTAATAGAACACTTTTATAAATATTACAAATTAATAAAAAAATATTTTTTGCAAGAAGATTAATTTCTAATCGGTCGTAAGATAAATGCGAATTAACAATTCGCCAATGCACAACCAATCGATTATAAAAGAATCTTGTCAGTAGGTATATAAATATCAAAGAATTTCAAATAGAAAATATATTCTCATACTTCTCTATCTTTATTTTCTATTCTTTATGTTCTTACTATATTTGATATAGAATTAGAAAATCATCGGGATTAAAAGCTCTCGATCCCCGACAAGGCTTGCGCGAGCAAGAAATTTTTTTCCACTAGCGGCACTTTGCTAGTCATAACGACGAGAAGGAGGAACGAGGGATGAGAATGTTATTGAGATCGCGCGAGGAGCGCATGCCCAATTGAAAATCGACTGAGCAGAGAGAAGGGCCGAGGAGATCGAGAGGTCGCAGTGAATGAAATATCGCGCGGCCGCGATAATATATAGGGCAGGTCTCTCGACTCCCTTAGCCTTCCTCTCTTTCGAACTCCGCTCGTCGAGAAAGAGAGAAAGAGAGAGCACATATAGCCTTGCGATCTCGCGAGTTTGGATCCATTCACATCGCTGCTTCAATAGGGTCGATAATCGTCAGCGATCGCGGTATCCCACCTCCCCGATAATCGGAAGAGTCCCTCTATCTTTTTTATCGGTACCTACCACCTTTTCTATAGCTCTCTCGATCCTAGAGCTGCCTGTGCTCGGGCCTCTTCGATGATAGATTCTAATATCGCTTATGAAAAATAGGGGCAAATGGGATATGAGAGCTCTCCCTTCAGTGCCACGGGGGGTTCTTCTTTCTATCCCGTGAGAGTTGGTGGATGGGATCGAGAGGGATAGAGATTCTCCTCTCTCTCTTTCTCTCTCCTTTCTCGAATGTGCGTCGCACATCGCACAACGAATGACGAAGGATGGTAGGAGTAACTGAAATAGCGACGCGCGCGTGGGACGATGGTGGATGGAGAAAGAGGGATGAATGGAAGTGGAAGTGAGATAGGGAGCTCTTTCAAAGCCCGTAATCTCTCTCGTGATGACATCCAATACCATCCTTGTACGACGAGAACCTCTACGAACCTCAAACCTCGCGCTCGGCTGTTGCTGCTGCTGCTGCTGCTCGTCGGCAGATTCCGCGATATGGCACTTCCGCGCCCGGGTCCCTGACCCCTAAGGGGATCATTCTCGGATTTTCCCGTAGACATACCGTGAGAAATTTCAGACGAAATACGCGCGGAAGCGACAAGGATATTTATTACGTCGCATTTGATATTTTTCGATCGGGCCAGGCTATGCGCGTCCGTTGATCGGGAGAGAACATATATATGCATACATTTTTATTTTCTTTTTGAAACGCATTTTGAGAACGTCTTCCTTCTATGTCTGCCATTTTCGATTTCGAATAATAAATTATGTTACTAATGTTACGTTTATTTTTTTTTTAACATCATACAGCTTTTTCTATTCATATTCTGTTGAAAGATCAAGATTTAAATTTTGAACACAAACTCTATATATGTATAAATACTTGAACAAGCTTGATTAACTTCAGTAATTAATTTAATATTTTTCAAGAAGCTTTTCTATCAAAAAGTGTTTTGCTCCATTATAAAAGTCTATTATGCAACTATTAATTTACTTTTCCCGAGCTCCGGAATGAACCGAATACGACTGAAGCATAAAAACGCATTTTTGACAATATCGACGCTAATTCTTCCAATGGCAATACCTCGGAAGCTTCTTCCTCCGTGATCGTAACATTTCTTTTAAACACGTCCGCTTTCGATCTGCGTTCGATTGACGTTACACGTCTGCTCGAGCGTTGCCATCGAATTATAAAGAGATCCTCAGACAATCTTCCGGGAGATCTCTTTACGCCCAAATCCCCGAAGAGGCAGTCGGCTGGCTGTCGCGTCCTATCCTTTCCCGCTCTACGCTATGGAGGGAGGAAAGAAGACTCCGCCGAGAACAGCCCGGCAAACGTTTCCGGACAATTTCGAGTCCCGATGGCTCCCGCAGCGAGCTATGATTTCCACGTGGATGGGCAGGCTGCGATTGCAGCAAAGCGAGCTTTTCCTTCTCTCTTCCCCCTTTCTCTCGGTCGTCTTCCTATCCTCTTTTCCTTCTCCTCGTCGGCGTCCTTACCGCGACGAAGAGAAGCACGTCTATAGCTCGGAGCGCGATTATCCAAGCTTCGCTGGCCAAAGGATTTTCCCTCCACGAGCTTTCCTCCCCGTGCAGAGTCTACGTTTGTGTGGGATGATAAGGAGGAATGAGAGCTTATAGCGTGTGTTTGTACACGTGGCCCGCACATGTGCACCTATTCTCGTTGAACGGTGGTGAATGTACGGGAATGCTCATAAGTTGCGATCACATTGCTGTGTGCGTTCTTAGGCTTGACATGACTGTACATACGTACACGTGTGTTTCGCGACACGTATGTGTTATACACTGACCTGTGTGTTCTTACTTGTCCGACGACAAGTCGGTCCTCCCGGTGACCATGCTCCAAAAGGAGGACTCCGCTTAGCCATGTATGAACATACACGTCAAAGGGACAGCTCCACTGTCGATCGTTTATTGGATCGTGTGCTCGCGTGCGCTTTGACGGTGGATTACCCGCGTTTGGCCTGGCGTCGTTTAAACGTCTCCGCCGGACGTCGCTTATGGAAATCGGAATGTCTTCCACGAAGTAGAAATAGAGGGAAGACTCGGAATATGTCGACAAATTGTGAACTGTCCTTCCGTCGAAAAACGGTCGATCGATCGGACGATTCTCGTCGACTTATCTCTTGTCTCGCTTAATCTCTATATAATTCATTTTAATTTACAGAAAATTTCAACCCTCGATTCTTCTTACGAGAATATGATCTCTCAAACGTGACGATTTTTAAAAATATATATAGATGCGATTTTTTCATTAATTATTCAGAAAAACAGATTCAATTTTTTTCAATCATATTTTGAATTTCTTTGTTATTTCTTTGACAATCAGTAATCGTGTGACTAACAAGCCTTTTCTGATTTTTCGTCGAATTGACATGAGAATTGCCGCTAACTTTGATTACATGATCTGTGATAAAAAAAAGAGAGGAGAAGAGAAACAACGAACGAGTCTCGCGTCATCGTGGTCCAAAGTTGGCCAAGTCCGCAATCTGCCGTCTCTGACGGCATGCTTGGATAGATGCAATTACCCTAGCCACGTTTCCTCTCGAACGAACGAGGAGAATTTCCGGGTGAAGTCTCAAGAGCGGCAAGTTCGCCAGTCAGCTAGCCGAGGCGGATGTGTGTTATGCCAGTTTGATGTAATCCGGCATCAGGCGGCGCCCGGAACTCAGCCAGTAAGGTTTCCCTCCCTCTCTTTCCCCATCTCTTTCTCACGTCTTGCACGGGCGAGCGCGAATCTCGCGTTTCTCGAAAGCACGAAGCGATTCGCATGACACGCGCGGCGAATCTGGAGCAACTTCCAGGTGCGTATGAATCCGTTTCGAATAGTTGCTGCGCCTTCGCGGAAAGTTCCAGACCGGTCCGAGATAGTTTCCCTTCCATCGTCCTCGCTTGTGGAGAGTGCAGAATATGTACGGGAACTTGCAAGATCACGGCGCGCGCTATTCACGAGTCTTCAGAAGCTATGAAGCTTCTGCTCGTGCGGAAAAGCTGGATTGATCTCCCGATGGAAGTTCTGTCGCTTTCTGATTAGAAGATTCGAAACGCCCACGTAATAACGCGCGTGCCTAATCCTTGATGTGCCGAATTACAATTTCAGAATTTCCCTCAGGAATATTTGTCACGAATCGAACTTTCTATTATTACTACTATTCTACTAATGTTTAATTGATATATTGCGTTTATATTGATTAAGGAAATTATTAGTATATATTTAAATATTATATCTATGATTCTATTTGAATATATCAATCACGTGATAATAGCGTGGATAAATTTTAATATTATAACTAACTGTCAAAATTTCTCGTACGTTAAACATTTGTGAATTATTTAATGAATTCCTACAATGAGAGCTTCTGTCTCGATTATTTCTACTTAATTGTAGTGAGATACGCGTGAAATGAATATTTAATTTTGAAAAGTGATGTATCGCGACTCTTTTGGAAAATATTTCAACGAGAAATTTTTTCCTCTCGAGCGGATTTCAGTCGAGCGAAGAAACTCCGACGGCTGCGTCTTTTGGGAACGACCAGCAGCAATGGCGTCCGGGTATCTTCTTTGCTTGCCGACGGCATATCGGAAGGTTTCGCGCGTTGTTGCGAGTTTCGAAAAGTTCTCGGAGGAAAACTCGTCCAGCCACGACCTGGAAACTTCTGAACGATGGATGGTTCGAGGAAGTTACGTAAAGGATCACAAATGCGCGCGCGGTAGAGCGTCGAGTACGCTTGAATGTGCCATCGG